CCCATCAGCTTCTCATTCAGAAAGTTGACATTATGGATGACAGTCTTATAAGAAAGCATTCCACTGAGCTCTTTTTTAAGTACGCAGTTGACACATTATATTACTTCATTAATTTTGCCAGGAGATGATATTTAACTATCAAAACATGTTGCCACTGATGAACTGATTGTTTTAAGCTTTCAAGAATAGTGTGTTTGAAAGAAATATTCACAATCGTACATTTTGTGGATGAAATATGCCAGTCTGGACTCTTATTTTGATGTATACTGACTTCTTCCTTATTTTCCCATCCAATTTGAATTCTGTTACTTTGATAGGTCCTTCACTAAGAGCCTTCTGGTTTTAGGCCTCAGACTTTTCCATTTCCACGTAGTAATGTATTTTGATTCTCCCCTCTCTGAAGTGGATTGCCTCACTCTGTGTTATAGATGGTGGTCATCTGGATTCCTGCCCCGTGTAACATTCTGGCTGTGTGCCAATATTTGAGAGGAATGCTACGCACACAGACAAAATTCCACATGGTGTAACAACCCAGAATACCACCATCTACATTTGCATTGCTTTATATGCCTCAAATCCTGCACTTTTATGTGTTTATCCTTCTCATTTAATTTGTGAAACATGTAGCTCAGTCTGTATAGTGACTGGCTATGGACTGGATGACCAGGACTTGATCCCTGACAGGGACAGACAATTTTTCCTCTAGCGTCTGCATCCAGACCAGTTCTGGGGCCCACCCAGCCTCCTATCCAGTGGGTACCAGGGTCCTTTCCTGGGGGTAAAGCGTGGCCGGGGCACGAGACTTACCACTCACTCCCCATCTAGTGCTTGGCACAACTTTGTTAAATACTGTGTTAAAAGTTCTATATTCTTCCCATACGTCTGAATAGATTTGATGTTCTCACACTGCCAAAAACATTGAATGTGGTCGTCTGGTTTGTGACACTATGTAGTGTTGTAGGTGGTTATGTATTGATTTTATCTTCAGAGTGTAGCTTAAATCATTTTTCAGGAACGTAAGTTACCACCTAAAGGACTGCATGGCATCACAACCCAAAAGACCGCAATTGAGAGGAGAATTATTTAACTGTTCTGTGATACAAACTCTCTGATAATTATTCAATTATTTGCTACAGAAAAAGGTGGTGTTATTACTGAACCTCTAGATAAAGAAAAAGTTTCACAGTTGTGCCTTACAAAGGAAGAAGCGTTGGCAGTGGGTCACCTAGGAGTACAACTGGAGCAAATGTTTGGTGGGCCCAGAGATGTGGAATGGGCAGTGTCAAAGGTGAGGGTCTGAAAAGGAAGAAATCAATCTTGCAGCAAATGTAATAGTAACATTATCAGCTAATTTAACTAGTTAATTAACTTTTTAGTGTTGTGTGTGCGCAAATGTAATAGAGAAAAGTAACAATGACTACGTACAGTTGAATAGGACTATAGTGTGGAATGAAGCACTGGGAAGGATATGAAAGGATAAGGCAGAGCCTGTTGTAGGGTCGTATGCTAGCAGTTGCTCTGAAAGACTGAGGAAAAACACAGAGGACTTCAGTCAAGGTAGCTGATGTCTGAACCAAGAATTGAGTTCCAGACTTCCTATCTACGAGAGATGCAGGAGCGTCCTCAGTTCAAAGAAGAGTCGCAGTAACAGCTGATAATCAGATGCAGGGGCTTGAATAAGTGACCTCTGAGTAAAAAGGTTTAAATGTATTTTGCTTTTTTATAAAACTTTATGGCTGTACTGGTCACTTTCAAACACATCCTTGGTCTGCCTTTTATTCTGCCTCAGACGTTTGTAATTTAATTGTGTCTTCAGTCAGTTGTATTTACCCATTCCACCTTTCTGTGTATGTATTAGTCTCTTAATACTACTTTAAATTTTAGCTGAACATGTTTTCAAAATTCTACTTGTTATTTCATCATAACCTGATATATATTTTTTTAATCTGAAGCCATGTATTATACGTTTTGTTTCAGTTTCAGTGGTTGGAATAATTTTAATGCCAGAATATTTTTCAAGAAAAGCATCTTTTAAAAATTAAGTAGCATCTTCTGTTCCCTCATGATGAAAATTTAAGTTTGCTAACAATTTAGAATAATTTTATTTGTTTTGTAATTATATAGTGTTCTAGTTTTTCATAAATCAGCAATTCACATGACCATCAATTGGCATGAAACATGAACCTCTGTTTATCAGTGCCATTGGCATGCATGAGCATCGTGGGATATTTTATAATTCCTTTTGAAAAATTAAAATATAATAATAAGAGTAATTCGTGGTGCAATTTATAGCAAATACCATTAAAAAAATTTTGGTTTCTGGAATCACTCTTACATGATACAGCACTAAGTGTGCTGGCTTCATTATTTGTCAAAACACCTTACTGTGTATGATTGACATTATAAAATATTGTATCTCTCGATTTTAGGGTCAAATCTACTTGCTACAATCTCGGCCAATCACATCATTTGACTCCTGGTCAAAGTTTGAGCTTCTTCATGAGTTTGATGGTCCTATCATCACTGACACAGAAATACTGACAACTGCAAATGTTGGGTATTGAAAGAATAAATAATACTACTAATAATAAGAGCAATAATAATAATAATTATCACAACAGGATAGTTCTGGGCACAGCTCATTCAATCATTAACAGCTCTGACCCCCTTTTGACATTCGTATGTTCGCATGAGTCTGCGGGTGTAGGGGCGTTTATATTTCAGGCGGCAAAGAGAGCAGCAAATGACCTCGGACTTGACTTCGACACCAG